ACTCGAGAAGGATAATAGCTGAGAGACAAGTTAGGCTGTTGGTTGATTAAATTTACTCAATATGTAAATTTTAACACAAAGTCGATTGCTACGCGGATATCATTCTCGTGGGTCTCATACTGCGCGGCACCGATTCCAGCATGGTGCGGGTGGGCTGGAAATTCACGAGTCGCGGCAGTGCCTTACCTAACGGATCCACGATCGCCAGTGATAAGCCGTGGGATTTACTAGCTTCGGAACGCCTCTGCCACCCTGAGGAGAGTCATCAATGTGAGGCCGACGATGATGTCTTAGCAGAGGGATCGACGACAGTGGAAAGGGTAGAGGGGTCTTGGAGTCTCGACTCAATGCTGCACGAGGCCACGGGACGTATATGGAAAGCTCGCTGGCTGCGTGTTACCCCGGAAACCACATTCGGATCAGGCACATGGCAATGCTGGATCGAAGGACCAGATTTGTTTGAAAATAAGTCCATCGGAGAACGCAGGAGTAAGGTAAGCAAATTATAATACTGACTAGATATCTCAATTTACTATAAGTAGTGAGCTGCGCCAACCTGTCGTATGTGTTGAAGTTGTATGAAAACCTATAGGTCAGAACTAGAAATATTGTGCGAAAACTTTGCCCAACTTAAGAAATGGTGTTGAAGCCATTAGCTAAGTGTTACTTTGTGCAGTCCCTAAAAATGAGATCAGATAGAATGGAGCCTGCTGGTAAATTTGACCTGTCTTCTAGCACCCAAAGCATTTAGTCATCCTAATTTACAAAGGATTTGTAAAAGCTGCTGAAGTTAAAGAATAGTGAAACCCAGGTGCCAGCCTCTAATTGCATTCCACTTAGAGAGCTAGCAACCATCTTTGGGTCTCGATTTTAGGACTCACCAACCCCTGAGGCAGAGCATCAAATCAATTAATGCATATTATGTAGTCACACACGGTCCTTTTGATTTCCATAATAGTGCCTATTATGTATAGACGAATTATTCTACTCTATTTGATTAAAGCCAAAACGAACAATATAGGAACGCGTGATAATTCGTTGACAAAACAAAGGAATGTTAAATAGTGAT